TAATTATATCAGCGCGCCATCTGTTATGAATATTCGGAACTATTAAAGACGCGTATGATTCTTTTGAAAATTAAACAATTTCTACTGTCCTTACTGTAATGGCAATATTTTATAATTATAAATCTCTCAAGCTTTCGGACAAGAAAGGCCTTCTACAGGAGAAAATTTTCTACATTTAAATCGTCAATGAAATAAGAGTTAAAATCAAATAAAATGATTTGGATGTTTACTGTTGTTTGAATGCAGAATCAACGCGGGCCTCTATAGCGCGCGTGATCCAGGACCTACAGTCTTGGATCTTTCCAGTTGGTCTCGAGGACCACGCCATCACCATCTCCTCAGCGGCGAAGTACGCGATCTACCTATTCTTCGTAGATCACGAAATACGTGGTGTCGCTGGAGACCTACTGGCAATTCTCCACCAAACTCTGCAGCGCTGGCGAAGGCGCCATATTCATTGTACATAGTTAATATAATCCATATTATATATTTTTTAAAAATAGTACAGACTGTGCACTTTGCATGTATTGACAAGATGTCAATAAAATTATTTTAATTGTCTAAAAAAAAATTATCTATAGCGCGGGTTTATCGAGTTTTGCTATTCAGAGGTGATATCTTCATTTGTAGATTATGGGGTGGGTTCATGGATTATAATAATGTAGAAAAGTATTTATTATTAACAGAGTATCATTTTTTATGTTTATATTTTGCTACTATGTAAACTTCCCTCATTGCTTATCTTTTGTTTATCATTCATAGTTTATCGTAAATCTAGAGGCTGCCTGGCCGGCGGCATTCATATTTCTTGAAATTAAAGATACTTCGGCGGCCAGTAAATCTTTTTATTACCTCGACGTTTCGACAAAAATCTTTTGTCCTTGTCAGGAGCAAACAAAAATTAAAACATTTGGCAAGGCGTTAAAAATTATTCTAACGAGGACAAAAGATTTTTGTCGAAACGTCGAGGTAATAAAAAGATTTACTGGCCGCCGAAGTATCTTTATTTTCAAGAAACATTCATAGTTATTTCTTGCCTTAAAATAGATTGCTAAGTCATCCTTAAGTTTTCTTTACCTAATTTTCCACGTGGCAATATAAATATAATATAAATAATAAACATAAATTCTTTTAAAAAACAATTAGAATTCTATATAACGTGTATAAGGATCCAATATCTTTTTCATCTGTGTGTTATCAAATTAAGTACATACCTATATTAAAAACAAATTAGACATATCCTGATCACTAAAATGAGCGCCAGTTGCCAGAACGCCATCTAGTGGAACAGAAATCAACTAAACGTTGATTTAACCTGTTCCCTGATATTTGACCAACCCATGATGACGCTCACTACACTAGATGGCACTCTGCCAACTAAAAAACGCTCATGTTAATGGTCAGGATATGCCTAATTTGTTTTTTGTTTTTTTTTTTTAATATCAACACCTAATCTTTTTTATTTTTAAAATCATTTTATTCATATGTTAAGCGTATTTACGGAAGTTTTTCATTGATTGATTTATATTTTATTAATTATATAATTTAGTTTCATGCCTTAAATAAATTGCTGTGTCATTCTGAAGTTTGTCTTTCTTAATTTTATACATGGCAATAAATTCAATGAATCTCCACCCTTTTTGACTCATGACCCACTATATTTTTGTATCTATTCGACCGGGAGAACTACCTCGACTGAGGTACCTGCAGAATGGCCACCGTGTAACAAGATGGAAGCTCTGAGTTACAGCCCAGCTGTGTCACGGAACATCCAATAAATACCTAACAGGATCTAGACACGCGCCTAGGTGACATCGACGTAGTATCTGACTGGAGTTCTCTTGTAGTACCTGTTGTGTGTTAGTCTACTGTAAGTTGGGATTCGAGCTGTCGAGAGTAAACATGTCATTGTATTGGAAATGAAATACTTGGTTCATCATGGTGAACTCTTCCAGCGGTTTCGCCAATTTATTCTACCAGACCGCTTTTTATACTGTATTTTATACTGTACCGTGTTTTAATATTGTATTGGAAGATTATGCTTATAAATGTAGTGTTTGACTGGAGTTCTCTTGTAGTACCTGTTGTGTGTTAGTCTACTGTAAGTTGGAGTCCGAGCTGTCGAGAGTAAACATGTCATTGTACTGGAAATGAAAGACTTGGCTCATCAGTGGTGAACCCTTCCAGCGGTTTCGCCAATTTAATCTACCAGACCGCTTTTTATACTGTATTTTTTACTGTACCGTGTTTTAATATTGTATTGGAAAATTATGCTTATAAATGTAGTGTTTGACTAGAGTTCTCTTGTAGTGTCTGGTGGTAGTCTACTGTAACTTGGGATCCGAACTAAACCTGCCTCAAGTAAAACATGTCATTGTACTGGAAATGAAAGGCTTGGCTCATCATGGTGAACCCTTCCCAGCGGTTTCGCCAATTTATTCTACCAGACCGCTTCTTAGAGATCTAATACTGTATTGGATAATTCTACTTTTATATGCTACACTGAAGGGTGGAATCTCAGAAATGGTATTGAAGTAATCTGGACTTAGGCCTTTAAGACAGTCCGTCTCAATATTTTTTCATCGCAGCAAGGATAGTAGAAGTTTTTGTTTTATACGTATAAGAAACAATTTACAAAAACTATAACAAGACTTAGAACAAAACATTATAAAAGATGACAATACATCCAGATGGCACAAGAACTTATAAAGCATGCAACAATTGTCCTGGTGTGGAACTAAAACCTACTCACATATTCTCATTCCCAGCAATGGCCGCAGCCTTGCAGAAAATTGACTTAGACCCAGAGCAGAGCTTTACACAACCAAGATAGAGAACATTGCTGCTGCTGTGTTGGAGATGCATGGAGACATCTGAGGCTCTTCTTTGGACACGACAACAAGAACAACAAACATTTGACTTTAATGATTTAATATCCTATATAGTGATGGTGCGTTATTGCTTTACATATGTCATTGTCATTTAAGAATCATCTATTCTGATCTTTTAACTGAAAGTTTCTGATAGATAAAATCAACTGATACTCTATTTTTGATTATTCCAGAATATTGACCATAGACCTTATCATGATTAATCAAGAGAAATTCAACCACGTACGATTACGCTTATGAACAAAAATACTTAAAGAAGTTGTATATTTTAGCATATATATATCCTCTATTTTTGAATATTCCAGAATATTGACCATAGACCTTATCATGATTAATCAAGAGAAATTCAACCACGTACGATTACGCTTATGAACAAAAATACTTAAAGAAGTTGTATATTTTAGCATATATATATATCCTCTATTTTTGATTATTCCAGAATATTGACCATAGACCTTATCATGATTAATAATGAAAAATCTTCAACCATGTACGATTGCCCTTATGGACAAAAAAAAACTTAAAGAAGTTGTATATTTTAGCATATATATATCCTCTATTTTTGATTATTCCAGAATATTGATCATAGACCTTATCATGATTAATCAAGAGAAATTCAACCACGTACGATTACGCTTATGAACAAAAAAACTTGAAGAAGTTGTATATTTTAGCATATATATAAGTCAGGAGTTAGACGATAACTCTGAATAAAAGGTAATAAGACCAAATTCACAAATAAATTAATATTTTGGTCTTATTATACCTTGTAGTTCTAATCTATAATCCAAATTGTACCTTATCATTATACATAGAGACAAATGCCTATTAATTTCTAAGAAAATTTAGACATTAGAAAATTGCTGATAACCCGCTGATAGCAAACAAAAACAAACACGCTATGAAAACGTAAGAATATTTCTAGAAAATAATGCTTGAGGTTTATAAGGCCTAATGTTCACAAATTGTAAAGACGTGCTCCTTTTTCTTATTGGTCCACGGTCAAATTTTTGAAAATTAAATCATTCTGAGAATTCAATTTTTTTTTATCCCCAGCACACGTGGTACATGACATGATAATCATGATGGGAGGTAGTAAGCGACTGCTTTTACTGTAAATACACCAAATGTCTATACATATCGACTTTTGCACTTAAAGTGTATCAGAGCCCCGTTTAGTTATTTGAACTCGTTGATGGGGTTGTACTTTTGCAAGAATCGGTGACCATTAGAGATTTTTTTTAAGAAAAAAAAAAAAGTGGCCAATGTGGGCTTCGATCCTGGGTCGTAGCTGTCGTAAACCAAAGGTTCAGACTACTCGTCCACTGACCACCGTAAAATTTATTTAAATCACACTATATTGTAACAAAGTATTCATTAAGAAAAAGGGCTTCTCCTTATCGTGCAACTGAAAGTTGCTGATGGCTTGCGCCATCTATCGGAATAAATATAAACTATTCTCGTTGATTTTTAATTATTCCAGAAGGAGGTATAGCTTGCACCACGCTGATGAGGGCCAAAAGCCCGAAACGCGTCCGTGGTTAGCTTTTCTTGATTAATCAAGAATGGGTATTTGGCCAATTCTGGAATAATTGAAAATCAACGAGAATAGTTGATATTTATTCCGATAGATGGCGCAAGCCATCAGCAACTTTCAGTTACACGATAAGGAGAAGCCCTTTTTCTTAATTTATGCACCTTATCCCATACAATATTACATTTGTACTATTTTTTCACAAAGTATTTATTATTTTATTATCAGAGTATCATTTTTGATGTTTATATTTTGCTATACTCTGTACACCTCCCTCTTTACTTATCTTTTGTTTATCACTCATAGTTTGTTCTTGCCTGAAAAAAATTGCTGTCTTATCTAGAATTTGGTCTTCCCTAATTTACCACGTGGTAATATGTGTGTATAATATAATATAATATAATATAATGAGGCTTGTGATTGTAAAACGACATCTGAAAACCATCCCGCATGTGTTTCCTTTCAACGAAAAATCAAAATTTATTTCAAGAAGAAATAACGATTATTTCTAACCTTAGGGATGAGGTATGAAAGGATGAATTGTGAAGAGTAATGATAAACGGAAAAATAAAAGTGTCCAGGGATGGGAATCGAACCCACAGTTTTCTGGGCAAATGCCATGTACACTAGGCTACCCTGGACATATTTTATGTATGTTGGGGTGTTAATAAACTTACCTTTGAGAGATTTGTTGATGGCATCAGCAAATTCTGGTTTGGCAGTTGCCAGGTGTTGGATAAGGTCATTGAAGAATTGGTAGAGCTGCACACAGGTGGCCCATGAGTGACCATAGAACACCAAGTTTACAACACATATGTAAATGTTATGATTTCTATAGAAGCATAGGGCGCCTCTCCCCTCAAAATAAACGTCAAAACCTGACGCCATCTATTGACCGTCGCCGCAACTAGCAGCCTCGGTTCGGTGACAAAGCCACAACACCAGCTTTGGCAAACTGAGAAGCGTCCACCTAGAAACCATGGTTTCGGGCTAATGGCCCTCGTCAGTCTAGGGCGGACAGTTTGCCAAAGCTGGTGTTGTGGCTTTGTCACCGACCCGAGGCCGCTAGTTGCGGCGACAGTCAATAGATGGCGTCAGGTTTTGACGTTTATTTTGACGGGAGAAACGCCCTATGCTTCTATGGATCAATTTCCTCCCGACACATTTTCCATCTATATATGATTTCTGATACAACATTTCAGAAATGGTGAAACCATCATCAGTAGCAGTACTCTAACTATTTTGCTAATGGGTAGATTGAAGAGTTTGAGAACAAAAGTGACAAAGAATCACTGAAACATTGAGACTATAAATAGAGAAGTAACTAGAGATTGGTATAAGGATTTTTTTCATATATAGTTTGTAAATACACTCATGGACAAAACATAAGAAAGTGGAAAGTCTTTGATGTCGCTGGTAGTCTTTTTTTTAAAGGGAGACATTTATATGAGACATATTATATTATACACCTATCCCCCGATTTACACGGTAGATACGTTACTGAGAAAAAACGTGTAAATCGGGGGATAGGTGTACACAGAAATAAAAATAAAATGCATTGACAGGTTAAAGTATGTAGTCAGCACATAAGCTCGGGATTCCTCGTGAGATGTGTACACAGCGCATGTGTTCAATCACAGTAGCATTTAGTACAGTGCGATAAAAAAAATAAAAAAACTTACTTGGAAAACCGTGTAAAAGCGAAAACGTGTGAAACAAGTACCGTGTAAATCGGGGGATAGGTGTACTGTATTTTATTAATAAAAATTCACTTAAAAACACATACATACAACCTCTCTATATTTGATATAAAAAAAACAATGGTTGCCTGTAAAGTCGGTTTTACGGGCGAAGATTTTACGTGACAACGGTAGAATATTTATTGATATGAATATAAGTAAATTGCACAATAGGAACAAAGAATTGAATGAAAATAAGAATTGCACAAATTGTAACTATAGAAATATATTTTGTTTACTAAAACATTGTACATGTAAACTTAAACTTAACTGATTCCTATATGAGTGATTTTGTTGAGGATAGGACGATGATAGGAGAAATATGAAATGAAAGGAAGTGTTTCTGCTGTAATGTGTCTTGCGAAAGTCAAGTCGATAGTTGTTCCTTTTAACGTAGTTGACTTAGAAACGTTTGATACGCAATCAAGATTATACGTATTTTTCATGAATTTAAGAAACGAGTTGTCAGGCTTTACGTTTTTGTTAAAATCACCACACAGAAGAATCGGTATACTAGAATCAATTTGCACGAACGGTGGCAAGTACTGGCTGTTGTGAATGTACGGACCGAGTCCTTGCCATAGTAACATTCCAATATCCTGCATACTAGCTCCTGGATGAATATATACAGCACCGAGTATAAACTTGAAGCTAGTATTAGCGGCGAAGCAAGTAACTTCAGTCATGCACATGTCACCCTTGGTTTTAATGACACGAGTTACGTCTGTAATCGCAACTGTGAACACTTCCGCCGTAGATGTCGATGATAATTTACGATAGATCGCCACTCCACCAGCCGCGTTGGTATCTGAGTAATTGTAAATGATGTAGTTGAAAATTAAAACATTTACTTATATTAGATGTTAAAATTCTTGCTCAACACAGTTTAAATAAAGTTTTCTTATATCTGCCACTTTTTCTTAATATTTGTAATTTTAAATAATCAATTCGAAAATCAAAACATTTATTCAGATCGAAGGGTCAAATTTTTGCTAAATAAATTTGAAACTATTTAAAATTTGTAAAATAATAATTAATTAATTAATTAATTTTAAACTAATAATTTACTTAACACTATCAACATTTATCAATAGTATGACATAACCTATAAACTCAGTTTCTCAACTTTTGTGTCAATCTAACAATTAATCAATCAATCATAGTTTACGATAATGAAATATCAGTGTACAATTATTTACCTTTATTGTTGTAGTTGTTGTAAATGACGAATCTAAGCACTCCACATTTTCACTACAGACACAGCTGACGATACTTTAACCACACGTGTGAACTTGTATTATGACGCTTTCTTGTTTTTCCAACGCCAAGAACGTTCGAGAAAGACAAAGACAGAGACAAGCATGCGCCGATTCAATGCGCCTAATTCTCTAGCGCTGCGCGCGCAGCTGCGCGCGCAGCACTCTCGTTCGGTGACTCATCGTAACGTTACCGGGCGTTACACTTTTTCATAAGTGACTCCCAGCCGCAACCTAATTTAAGACGTTGTCACGTCAAAAATAATACGCTCACAGCGTGCGTTATTACACTAATAAAATAGACATATGTTATATTTAACCAGATGAAAAATTTTAAAACAAGGCTTAACCCAAATTTTTCCCGCCAAAAATCTTTCAGGGGTGCCAGCTTGGATTTTTAGGATTAAGTGAATTAGGCTAATAACTTCTTTGATTAAGTTAATTAATTATGTAAATACACACCGACCTTTCTTTTTTCTTCTTAATTTAGTTAAAAGGTTTGAAAAATCGACCGCGTCTTTCTATTAATATGAGAGTGAAAGAGGGAAGTCTTATATATAATTATATTCTTGATAGAATTAGTTTAAATTAGTCATCTCTCTAGAAATCTCTTTACTCTGGAAATCTGTAGATTTAAAACTTTTTTGACCAGGGATTTAAAAATAATTTAGAACGTTATTAAAACAAATTAGGTTTACGATGTGACACGAAAATAGGTATTTTTTGGGCCAACCGACGCTGACGACAACACTGGCCAGCCGACGCCCGCGCATGCGCGAGCTAGAACAAAGACTTAGCCCTAAAAACTTCCGGTAAACAAAGGCTGCTTTTCGACTTAACGTTTGGTTTTGACGGGCCAGAAAAGGAACTATCCCTTCATAAATTTTAATAATTGCTTTTGAATAACATTTGTATTGATATTAATTTGTGTGATTTTTTAAATAAATATTTCTATCAATAAGTATTAATTCTTCATCACTGTTTACTAACTTAGGCTTCGTCATTCAACGTTGTGACACTTCTACTGATCCCTGCAACAAAGGTATTGATTTACCAATTTATAATTTTTCAAATCAGTTTCCAGCATTACTGTAAAGCTAGGAACGTTTAGTTCAGGTTAAGCCATCGGGACCTTGTATTGTCTTTCTTTTTTTCAAATCTAAGACAAAGACAACATTTTGGCGCAGTCGACAGGATAAAGATTGAAGAATTACTGATTACACAAAGGTGCAACTGTGAACCAGTGATTACTTCTCAGGATGGCTGACCAACCAGTTAGTAGTGCTGAACTGAAAAAGCTTAGGACGCCAGTGCGTGCAATGTTCACCAAGGCGTTCAATGAGCTCGAAACAGAGATCAAGAAGAAGGAAGTCAAGAAAGCAGATGTAGAGAAAATCCTCCGCCGACTCCAGACCCACCATGAAAAGCTTTTAATATTGAACATGAGGATGGAAGAAGCTCTGCTACGAGAATCAGCGTCTGAAGACATTTTCACTGCTGAGTACGAATCCGTTTGTGAGTACGAAGATAATTTCAGTAACATTATGACTGATTACGAGGCTCTTGCGGAAGAGGATGACGTTAGTACTAGTACAATCAGCGGCACAGCAGCAATGAACTATCGACTACCAAAGCTGGAGTTCAAGAAGTTTGGGGGAGAACCAAGAGAATGGATTACATTCTGGAGTCAGTTCAGCACGATTGACCGGGATCCACAGATGCCTCCAGAAACTAAGTTTCAGTATCTCTTTCAAGCCACTGCCGAGAACTCCGAGGCAAGAGAAGCAGTCGAAAGTTTTCCACCGAGTGCCGACAACTACCCTAAAGTCATCGAGTATATCAAATCACGTTTTGGAGAGGATGAAATGCTTGTTGAGATTTATGTGCGTGACCTGCTTCAGAATGTGCTTCAGAATGTGAGAGCCGAAGGTAAGATGTCTGTAGTGAAGCTTTACGATAGACTGGAGACACAACTGCGAGCATTAGAAACATTGGGCGTCGCTCGTGACAAGTTTGCGGCTATGCTGTACCCACTCGTCGAATCAGCGCTACCAGAGGACACCCTGAGAGTATGGGAACGAAGTCAATATACGGTGAGCGGAAGAGGAGTACAGGATAAGTTGACACAACTCATGACGTTTTTGAAGACAGAGGTGAAGGGCGAGAGTCGAGTGAATATGGCCAAAGCAGCGTTCAAGATCGACAACAATCAAGATGCGAAGGATGATCGATCAAACAGGAAATCTCTTTCTAAGAAGAATCCTGGAAGTAAAATGCCGTCAGCTACTGACCTCGCCAACACCACTCAGATCGCCAACACCACTCGGATGCGAAACAACTGCATCTTTTGTGGGAATGGTCACCCGAGTCAAGAATGCTACAGTGGACAGCGGATGCATCTACCAGAGAAGAAAGATAAGGCTAAAGGGAAGAATGTTTGTTTTTGGTGCCTGCTTCCTGGCCACGCATTCAAGAAATGTCGGATTAAGCCACGTTGTCCTGTCTGCGGAGGGAAGCATTACGCCATTATGTGTCCTACTTTGGAAGCCCAGAAGACTTCTCATCTCCAAAAAGCGGAACTAAAGGTTTCAGGGGAAAGTCCTGCAACAGAGCAAGAGACTGCCAATCAATTCACGTCAACAACTT